CAAAGCCAATCACAGCAGGCCTCACAACAACAACAACAGCAGCAGCAAACACCAACACAGACACGGCGGAGTTGGACAACCATATTTAGTGGACCGAGTAGGCACACGCACACAACTACTACAAATACCAACACAAATGTCAACAATAACGGCGGTAACCCGAGTAGCACTAATCCATCGGGCTCTGGCGTTACTTGGAGCTGGAGTAGTAGTAGCGGGGGAAATAATACCGGGAATCCACGGTAGGGTCGTGCGGTAGAGTAGGATAGAATGTTGTGGGCTGTGGAGCTGGAAAGGGCCTGAGAGAGAGTGCCCCGCAAGTTCATATTGTTGCTTGCTTTCTTGCTTTTTCTTGCTTGCAGTTTGTATTTTTCGCCTTGTGTATTTTTTGTTTGGGTTCGTTGCTTGATTGGGTTATCATTATCTCCTATTTGCTGCACGGTGCTCCTTTTCATGTTTTTTACTTTTGTTTCCTGTGTTAGGATCGATCGGGCTTGTTGTAATTTTTTGAACTGGATTTTGTGAGATCTTTTTGTTACATTTTCTTACTTGCCTTGGTGGTTGATGTCTTTTTGTGATGGGTGGAAGAGGGGGTTTTCGTTAGAAAACCACTATTCACAAGAATACCTAAGGAAGGAAATGGTGTTTCCTAGATTGTGGAGAGTGAGAACCACCCACGTATGACATTGGCAGAAGCTTGGAGATTTTATAGCTCTTCGCACGCACTCTCTTGTAGTACCCTACTGTACATAATGAATTTGTTATTGCCCTTGCTATGCCGACTGGTGAGGGCTTTAATTTTCTGTGGGAGCCGAAGGGGGGACGTTGGGTTGCTAGGGAGTGACACGTGATAGTGGTGAGGATTGCAGTTGTTAGACAGGTTGGGGTGGATTTCAGTTACTCTAGAGGCAATATGGCCAGGGAATAAGAATGTATGTACGATAGTTGCCGTAGAGCTGTAAAAATCACAGGTCAAAAATAAGATACACAAAATTATCCACCATCAATATTCCCAATACTCCCAATACTCCTCAATATAATAATGTACATTTGCCCATCCATCGCTTCCACAGATCCGGACCGAGCTGGGCCAGCGCTGGCACCTGACACAAGCTTACCCCGAGTACTCACTCGAAAGCCACGGACATAAAACAAGACCCCTTCCCACTGCACATCACCTAGATCTCCCATCCCACTCCACTCCAACCCTCCAACTATACCACTCACCAGCAGGCTCCAGCCGGACTCTTCTACGTTCCATGTTCAATCGGATTAGCCGAGGCAACAGAGCCTTAGCTCTCAAGGCGTTTACCTCGGAATCAGCACGTCGCCCTACTACCCTAGTAAGTTGGTAGCTCTTTTATGTGGGCATGTGCACGGCTGGGGTGGGATTGTGGGGAGCCGAGGGTCCGTAGGCCGACCCAGGGATGGGATACCTATGTTGCTTGAAATTTAAATTTTTTGGGGGGCTGGCTCCTTGAATTTGCGTTCATCTCCTATTTTCTTGATCTTTGTTTTAGATATATATGGGAGCCGTGTTTCAGTTCTGTTGGGTTGCTAACAGACAAAGGCTGTAGCTATGGCTCCTGTGAGAAAGAATTCGACATTACCCGCAGGTATGAACTCTCGCTCAGAAACTCTGATGAAACACCAGTTAACCAACCTCCCTGCAGGGAACCGAGAAGACCCCACAAAACCCCCCATGTTCCGGTTCCAAGAGTCCCTCCCCAAGCTTCCTGTCCCCACCCTTGAGGAGACGGCTTCCCGCTACCTCAAGTCCCTCCAACCCCTCCTCACCCCTGAAGAACTTAAGGACTCCACTGCCGCAGTTCAGGAATTTATCAAACCCGGCGGGATAGGACAAGAGCTCCAGAAGAAGCTCCAGGCGAAAGCCGCTGATCCCAATGTCAAAAACTGGATGATCGATTGGTGGAATTTCAGTGCATACCTCGGATACCGCGATCCTGTCGTTCCCTACGTATCGTACTTCTACTCTTACAAGGATGATAAGAAGAGGAGAGATCAAGCTACTCGAGCTGCAGCGATTACTACAGGCGTTTTGAGCTTTAAGGATATGGTGGATAAGGGAACGCTGGAACCAGAGTATATGAAGAAAGCACCTCTTTGCATGGACTCGTATCAGTATATGTTCAACTGCTGCAGGATTCCGGAGAAGCCGGCGGATTTTCCAAGGAAGTTTGCGCCAGAAGAGAATAAGCATGTGGTGGTGATGAGGAAGGGGCAGTTCTATAAGGTTATGCATGAGGTGGATGCGAAGCAGCTTAGCACGAGAGAGTTGGAGGAGCAATTCAGGAGGATATTGGAGTTGGCGAAGGGGAATAGTGTGCCGCCGGTGGGGGCGTTGACTAGCGAGAATAGGGATATTTGGACAGATGTAAGTTCTCTCCTCTACACTCTTGATAAGATGGCAGTTGGGCTAATTTTGATCAGGCTCGAGCAAAACTTGTTGCGGCCTCCGCGAGAAACGAAGAAGCCCTCGAGATCATCGAGTCTGCCTCCTTCCTAATCTGCCTCGATGACACCTCCCCTGTCACCCTAGAAGAGCGCGCACATCAGTACTGGCACGGCGACGGCAAGAACCGCTGGTACGACAAACCCCTCCAGTTCATCATTAATGAAAATGGCAGCGCTGGTTTCATGGGAGAACACTCCATGATGGACGGCACCCCGACTCACCGCTTGAGCGACTACGTCAACGAAGTTATTTTCCGCGAAAAAATCACTTTTGATACTACAACTCTACGCTCAAACCTTCCTGAGCCAGCGGAGGTTAAGTTCGTCTTGAATAAGGATGTGGAGACTGAGATTTTCCGCGCGGAGAAGGACTTTACGGAGTTGATTGGGAAGCATGAGTTGAAGGTGCAGATGTATCTCGGCTATGGAAAGGGCTTGATTAAGAAGTTTAAGTGTAGCCCGGATGCATATGTACAGATGATTATCCAATTGGCGTATTATAAGATGTATGGCAAGAATAGGCCGACCTATGAGTCTGCTGCTACGAGGAAGTACCAATTGGGTAGAACTGAGACTTGTATGCCCCCCCCCGCATTCTCGCTTCACACCAATACAAATTGGGATGCTTATATGAATGTAACCAACCCAGGCCGTTCTGTCTCTACGGACTCTGTCGCCTTTTGCAAAGCCATGGAAGACCCCACCGCCCCTCCCTCCATCTGCGCTCAGCTCCTCCGCAAAGCCATCGACTCGCATGTGTCCTACATTACCGACGCCTCCTCTGGGCACGGTGTCGACCGGCACCTTTTCGGACTAAAACAACTTCTTCCATCAGACAAGCCCAAACCGAGTATCTTCACCGACCCTGCTTATGCGTACTCAAGTACTTGGTATCTGAGCACTAGCCAGCTGAGCTCTGAGTGGTTTAATGGCTATGGGTGGAGTCAGGTTATTGATGAGGGGTTTGGAGTGGCTTATATGATTAATGAGGGCTGGTTGAGCTTCAATGTTGTTTCGAAGGGGCTGGGAAGTGAAAGATTGGGGTACTTTTTAGGACAGGCAGCGGAGGATATGAGAGAGGTAATGGAGGCTGAGGCTAGGGTGCAGCCCGTGAAAGCTAATCTATAGGCAAGTGGGGAGTACCACACTGTAGGATGGAAAGGATTGTATTAGAATTACTCTACTGCATGGAGTCTTTGTTCCTGTTTGCTTTTTGGGGTGTTTAAATTGAATTGTGATTTTTGGTTGCTTATTTTTGGTTTTTGGTTGAAGGTGAATACCATTCAACTGGGAAGTATGTACATACGGTGGCGCAGAATCTTTTCCCCTTCTTCCTATCCGGGAGCTGCATATGCATGGCTATGCATGCATGGGTTCTTGGCATTTGCATGGGCACGGCCTCCCACCGGCTCAACGACATCGTCAGTTGTCTTATTTTCTCTGTCCCTCCTCTCAATTTGCGTTGACGTTGCCAGTGTACAGCGACTTATTTGGTCAGGCAACTCACCTGATTTCAATATGATTGAGATTTTCTGGGCATATCTCTAGCGCATAACCACGAAAAGGTACTGTAAATACAGCCGTTCCCAAAACCCCAATCCCCCGAACACCCCAATACATGTTGCTAATAACCGGAATTTAGACCTCTCACTTCCCGCACGGCGGCTGAGCAAGCATGGAAGAATGCATGGCGTGACCTTGAGCAATGGAGGATTCAGCATTGGATTGAACGCATTTCCTACCATATCCAAGAGGTCAGGGTTATCCCAATGAAGAAAAGGGGCATGACTTTTGTTCTGCACCTCCGTTATACTATATAACATTTCTTATCGCCCTTTCCATAGCCGTAGATAGCTATAGAGATGAGTGCTTAAGCTTAAATATATAACTAGTAGAGTTTACTTCTTTAAGCTCACACAAATGATACACCCTTTGTAATTTTATTCCCCCCCCCCCAAAAAAAAAAAATAATAATAATAATGTTGTTAAAAAAGAAAGAAAAAAAAACCCCCCCCGAAGTTTGGGTTTTGGAAGCCATATTAACATTTTGATGTTCATCACACAAATAATATAACCGCATAACTAGGAAAGAAAACAAGAAAACCCTATACTAATGGGTACCTAGTTTACTTGAGGTATTTTCATGAGAAGGTACCACCTACCTACATATTTCATTGGAAATTTCTCGCAAGTGAAGAAGTATGAGGTTTTGAATTTAAAACAAGTTATAGAAAAAGGATAGGTTTTGAGCAAGCTGAAGAAGAAGGGATTGTCGGTTTGTCACTCAATTTTGCCTTCATACATTTGTCCAAGGTGTGCACATACATATATGCCATTCCGTGCAAATTCCGCAACGGACCGAAACACAATAATATCCAATATAAACCTCTTTAATTCCGATAAAACCGCAGAATCTCGAAATGGTATCACCTCGCGCTTTCTCTTTCTATTAGCGACAGATAAAATAACCGGCTAAAATAGAAAAAAAAAAAAAAAATTAAAAATTAAAAGAAAATTAACCTTGTTGCCCAAACTCGGAATCGAACCAAGAATCTTTTCATAACGGATGGTACGAGTGAAACGCCTTACCATTTGGCCATTCGGGCTGTTTGGTTGATCCTAATGCAAACCGGTAGAATATAGACAACTCGCCGAAGGGCATTTCGGAAATTAACATAACCAAACCAACGCTAAAATTCCAACAACTCCCGCAACATGATCATGCCGCTCTGTATGCTGATGTTCACCATCCCACTACTCTATCATGATTATGTGGACCATTCTAGAACTAATATTAATATACCAACAGCCACATCTTTGAATTGCAAAGTAGGAGTACAATACAGAAAGCCGTGGTGCACTGTTCCCCAGACCCACTGGCAAAAAATTTTGCAAAACAGCCCCTTCCATATTAGACCTCCCCGCCACCGAACTCCCTCAAACACCACCCAAAAAGCAACGTGTAGATGCTAAACAGTTATGTGTAAATGACGCTGCATGTGTATATGTGTGGAGAGATATTAAGCACAAGGATATTAACTTATCGGCTATACACATGATACGCGTTCAACTAATTATTCTATTCGAGCCATTATCCCATTATTAATGGAGCAGCAGGGGATAGCCAAACACGCACGATAGAGTATGGAAAAAAGCAATGTAAATATCAACCATAACCTCAACATGAATTTGACCTTTTGGCCTTTCGCCAGTCTTTCGTCAGCCAATGAGACAGGAAACAATATATTTCTATTCCATTTAGTCTAGTATAGGGAGCCGCTCTTTGAAAGTGAGGAAGCAGTCATCCTAGAAAAAATTTTAGTTAGGTCATTTGTAGCTTTTTGTATGTGTGGATAATTGGCGAGCACTTACCATAGGGAAAATCGTCGCAAACACCTTAATCTTTTCTGATTTGGGTGTAACGTGATGTTCCCATTCCAGCATTAACGACGCCAATGAAATCATGGCCATGAAGTTGTAAGTCGCATACTAAAGCAGATAGCCCCACGGATCAGCAACCACAATGTGAGCCATGTACGCAGCACTAACACGGAGCGGTAAAATGAATGAATTTCTTACCGTTTGTCCCAAACAGTAGTGTGGTCCGGTTCCAAATACTAACCAGTTCTTAACCGCTGCCTCTGCCTCCCCGCCTTCGAGCCATCGGTCAGGGTTAAAAGTTTCTGGGTCGACATACACTTCTGGGTCATGGAGAGCTGGGTAAAGAGTGGGTACAATCATGGAACCTATTAAGAGAGTGTTAGAAGCATGCATCTAGCAGAAGCAAGTCTCCTTGGCTCACCTTTTGGAACAATATATCCCTCTGCGACCGGAAAACTCTTCTTGACCTCATATGGAACCATAGTGACAGGTGGGCGGTATCTCAAGCATTCCTTCACGACCGCACGGGTATAAACCATTTGATCCAACATGTCGATATCGGCCGGTTTGTATGGGTCCCCACCCCTCACACGAAGAGCTTCCTCTCGAACTTTCTCAAGGCAATCGGGCCTGTCGGCCATGATCTGGAACAGCCAAGTGGTGGCACTAGAAGAAGCATCCTGGGAGGCAAACAAGAAGGTGAATATAGTTTGCGCTATCTCCCAGTTAGTGAACATACGGATGCTGGCTGGAGCCTTTTCGCCTGGAGCCAGGGTTTCTCCTCGAGCAAGCCTCTCCTCATATGCCTTGTACTCGAACATGGACTTGACCCAGTAGTCTAGCAAACAGTGAGGAACCCCACCAGCGGCCATATGGTCCTTGGACTTCTGGGCGCATTCAGAGAACTCTTCAAGGACCATATCCGCACATTTCTTTCCATACCAAGTCCTAGTGTATGGGATGATAATGGGGAAGTTGACTAAGTCCAAGGCAGCGGTAACTTTATAATAGTCATCAGAAATCTTCTTGACCTTCTCATCCGAGCTGTAATTTCCAACAAATGTTCTGCATGAAACAGCACAGTTGATCTCACGGAACTCTGGCATAAATTTGACGTTGGGCGTCTTCTTTGAGATCTGAATCCATCTCTTGAAGTACCTCTTGTGCATGTCCTCCTGACCGGGTAGGTACTCAGAGAGGGCCTTACGAGTGAAAAGTCCGTTCAACCCCTTTCGGTAGTCAACATGCGCCTTTCCATCCAAGAACACCCAGTTTGTAGGCCGGAGAATCTTTTTCGCAATGTCGACGACGCATGGCCTAACGTACATAGGCGAGTTGAGCACTTTTCGTGCAAGATCTCGGGTAGAAGCAATGACAACAAATCTATAAATCGGGAAAGCTGTCAGTTGCAGTAATTTAAGACTAAAGAATACAGTCCATTTACTGACTTGTGGAAAACAGATACGCAACTCAATGGACCACTCGCCCATTTCGCTGCATATTCTTCGAACTTAGGATCGATTGACTCAAGGAAAGGGCCCATAAAAGGCAATTTGAATGCAGGCCCAACAATGTTCCCCCATTTGTTCCATTGGTACTTGGCTTCAAAGACCCATCTAAGTCAGCGCATGAAATTATGATAGTTTGCCAAAGCACCATCTCACCTTGATCATACGTGACACAAAGAATAAACAGGGTAACCGCAAGGCTCCAGTACGACACACCCCCAAACAGCTGTGAAACCATATTCCCACCCAACATCTCAGGGGAGCTATCCCCAGGCACCGCATGTGGGGAGGATTGAGATGCCATCCGTCTCTCAGATAATCGTCTCGTGCTGTTTCGGTTTTTTAATCAACCAGCTGGGGAATCAAACTGAAGAGCGCTGGAGTAATTTGAGCGAAAAATAAGGGAAAACTCAATTATCGAGCTGTCAGAGTAACGTTGCCAGGAAACAGGGACGCAATATACCCTCCCCTGAGCGCTAGCCTCAGGATTTCAAATAAAAGAGGAATTCCACCTACTCAGAATTAGTCTGGTAAATAGGTGCGTGATAAATCAAGACTTGAAGGGGGCCGGTGGTGGACCCTTAAGGCTGCAGCTGGTAGTAAATGGGAACGATAAAAGCGAGTCACAGATTATATTCCCCCGTATATAAAGTGCTCCGTCGCCTAGAGCTGCGGCTGCGGGAAATAACGAAGGCGGCCATTTTCATTACCTACCTCAGGCACCGATCACCTCTGCAGGGCAACATACAACATTACTGTACTGTTACGTTCATGACCAACTGCCCAACAACACTGCCCCTCGGACCTCTGCACTGCCGAAGCTATTCCGGAAAAAGGGGTTGCCAAAAGGCAACAAGGGTTACTTACTTAGGCTAAGCAATTTTCGAAGATCGACCCCAACTCAAAATTATTAACCCAGGTCAAAAAAAAACGACAAGGGATGTTGTTGACTCTTGAAACCAGTACTTACATGTACTCCGTACCTAGCAGCCTGCATACCTAGTACATAGTGTAGCTCCTTTCAAGATTTCCTGTAGAAAAACGAGTTTCCCGACGAGGTTAGAAAACCTTGCGGCCAAAGTCTCTTTGAATTTTGAATATCTAGAACTTGAGGAATGCTAGTCTGGTTGGCAATGGATGTCATATCGTTGGAGACTCCATACCGGTGACCTCCAAAGACTGTCACTGCCTGTGTCCTATTATGGAAGCTCCCCTGAATGGCCGTAGTCTGGTTGCACGAAAAATACAATCGGAGTGCCAAGAACAGCGCGGAGAGACGGTACCGGTACAGTACATACGAATGGTTGTTTAAAAGACATAACAAATCACTAGCGTGATAAGGCATTGTTACTATCACAAACTGGGTACCGGTAATGATTGATATAGGGTGACCCGACTACATTCAGCAAGTACAACGAGATCAAGGAATAACCATGCCTGTAGCTTAATTAGAGTCGCTGAATTTGATTATTGCATCGACAGCCCAATCAGTATTCACAGCCTCAGCAGAAATTCCTCCTATCTCAACTATTTTCCCCCCGTATATGGCTGTTAATAGCATGAACAGACGCTTCCTAAGTACTCTCCTTAACCTGTAACAATTTAACTCTTACGCATGTAGTGCATCTGCTACAAAATATTAAAAAAAATATTCAACTTCCCGCTTTTCCGGTGTAGTATTTTATGATATTGTAAGAACACCCTAATCAAGCTTCCCTCATGCAATAAAGTTGATGAGGCTCTTATATTTTCTGAAACTTGAACAGGCTTAAGAAATTGTAGTTTGCTAGTCTTTATGGGGTTATCCTAATTAACAGCCATATACGGGGTAAAATAGTTGAGAGAGGAGGAAATTCAGTAGAGAGGGGGCCGTAGGCGCTGCTGAGAGTACTATAGCAAGTTCAGAGCAACCATGATCGGGCTGTCGATGCAATAATCAAATTCAGTGACTGTAATGAATAGGCATGATTATTTCTTTATAATCGTGCATCGGAGATATGAAGTCGGCAGAGCGGCAGATGCCCAGTCCGCAACAAACCCGAAGAACCATATCATATTCATTTACACATCATTACAACCATTTATCAAATTGTAGTCTCGCTTCCAGGTGCTACGCAACAAAACATCAGATAACTTTCACGACATTCGAGAATAAACTAAAGTACAACAGCCTGACTTCGAGGCTAGTCAATGTGTCTGGGCATTGGCAATCGGATATTACAATTCTGTCTTTATCAAAATATGCTTAACTAAAAAAAACTCATAATGACACTGAAGTAGTATTTCAGTGCCCTGGCCTTGATGCTTTATTTTGCACATCTTCACGTACTCTATACATTAGATGCTCGGCTCTGGAGAGAGATTAAAGAGGGCCTTCAAACCGTGATGGCTGAATTCCGTGATATAATAAGTATATCGAACTGGTAAGTTAAGAAGCCAAAAAAAAATCATTGACACCCTGCTAAAGTGAATCGTAGAAAGACGCTGGAAGGAAGGTTCGAACAAGTAACAGACTCGGCGTTATCATAGAATGGCGAGCGTAGAATCCAAGGTCTGCCTGTCATATTTGATGTATTTATCCCTCATAATATCCTTATACTTGTCGTGAAATCTCCCGTATAGGGGTCCGATGAAACTGATTTCCTTGGTCAACATCATCCTGACATCTTTCTCCGGAAAGTTGTATTGCTTATGGCGCTGCACAAGCTCATCGAAAT